GAGAGAGAGAGAGAGAGAGAGAGAGAGACAGGAGGAGTAGCGAGAACTTCCAGGCAAAAAGAAAAAGTGACCAGTGAAGTTCGCCTCGATTAGAAAAGTGAAATAGCCGTAGCATCTTTGTAGACGACCAAATTAATTTACTTTTGTGCTATAAAACATCATTTTTTGGGTTTTTTTTGGTCAATTTGATCATTCATACCGATAGAAAGCATTGAGTAATTAGGAAAAATAGGTCTTGTTTCTCACCGGGGGAGAATAGCGAATGCTGGCAAGTCTCACCCGGTGAGAGAAGTCGATAATATTTTTATTCTCACCGGTGAAAATAGCCACTTCCCATTATGGTAGGCTATAGGATAGGGTGGATTAACTCTTGTCCTGCGTCTGTGCTGAGATGCGAATCTTATCAGCAACCGATTACGTCGGACGTTCCGGGCGGGCCGCCGGGGTCACTCAGTGTGTACTGTTGGTGTACAGCCCACGCGCGCGCCGGGAAACGTGTGTTTCGCCATGAATACAGTTGGAGTGCGTTAATCAACGATGAAAATAACGCTCTATCTTTCATAGCTTTCTATTTATAAAGTGTTACAAACACATGAATAACCCCCTCTCATAAGCTGATAAGACATTACGAGCAGTTAAGCCCGTTCGAATAACCTTTCTAGACGCTCTTGTTGTTATGAATGACCTGGGGTTCGAAAGGGGACACTATAGGTCAATTTCCGAATGTTCTGCACTCAAATTGTTCTTTGTACCTGCACAATGGTATTCAAAATTATCAAATAAGCTTATTTTTTATCAGGTAGTATCATTTCATACAAAATCAAGCTCATTTCCTGACTATATCCTTTTGAACTCCTCATGTCTAAGTGGGCCAATTTCTTCTATAATTTCATTTGACGAACATCTAGAGCTACCAACTTGGCATGTTTTGAATGAGACGTATGCCTCAGTTACGAAGGCGGTTCAAGAAGAAGGCCACAAACGCAGACAAACTCAAGCAGACTGACGCACACACACTTGAGCTACGTGAATGCGGATCCGACTCAGGACCCGAATGCAAGGGGAGATGGTGCTCGGCAGGTGTGCGCTGAGCCAGGGGCTAGACAGACGCAGGACCAGAACGCAGGCATAGTGCCGAAATAGGCTTATCGCGTGACATATAAACCCGAGGGTTAATAGCCTCTATACAAAGAGTTTCGGTGATCTTGTAGTTCCGTTCGTTTAAGTCCACGATCCATTTGTTTACATACAGAGAAGAAATCAAGAAGTCTTGAAGACCAAATACTATTCGAATTAGGCTACACAAGGGAGTAGGGATGCAACCTAACTGCAAAACATCAAATTAGTATAAAATTCAGGGTGGCATGCCCCCCTGAACCCCCCACCTACATATTTGTATTAGGTCAAGCCCCCCTGAAACCCCCTTCTCTTGACTTTAAAGAACGAAACTACAAAATCGCCAGAGTTTCTACTACTAACGGCAGGATTTGTTAGACCAGCTGTGAAAGCTAGGAAGGCAATTAAAAAAAAAATTGGTTGGAACTCTTCTACTTGCACTGACACAGAAACTGAAGTGGAAGGCAAGTAGGCTACACAGCAGTAATAATAGTGGGAGGAAGTACTGGCCGACCACCAGTCTGGGTAGTCTAGACTAGAGTCTAGTCTGTAGTCTACGCGGTAGTCTACGGTAGTGTGACAGTCACAGTGGCTATGTTAGGGCACTGGGCACTACTTATTATTTTCTAAATGCCGCTTCCATTAGTTTACAGCTAGATCTAGAACTAGATATCTCGATCTTCTAGATCTAGACATTCTGGGTGTAACATTTTAAATCAGAACGATAATTAAGTCTGAAGTATGAACGTAAGAAGACTGAAAGACAAAATGAAAGTGACACGGCAAATTTGAGTTTCTGACGGGTATAAAAGGCATTCATACATTTGACATAAGGACACACAACACATATTTTTAACCAGGATCTTTAGATCCATACAGAACATATTTATTGATACCTTGAGCTTAGAAAGAAGTTCGCCAGCTTTATCAAGATTGGGCGGCTTTGTATCCCAAACTCGCTTGAGATTCTGGTACACTCCGACAATCTCTTTCAAGTTGGCTGCCATCTTGTTTACTAATGCGGACAAACTGTTTGACTGTGTTTTGATTTGTTGAACATTTAGAAACGTAGTAACGCAGTGAATTCCAGCCTCCTGTTCATTGGTCAAATTTCAGGTTTGCTTTATTCCACATGCTACTTCCGGTGGAGTGGATCGGTTCCTCACCAACAGATCAACATTGGTCTGCTGTGTGAAAAACTGATAGATCTAGCACTGCCAAGAGTTTTGATACTCTCCCCAACCTTTCTGGGTATTGTTTGTCCCGCATTCAAGCAGTCTCTCCGCTAGCATGGAAAACGACATCCTTGATTCCCTAGAAGACTTAGGGTATGCACCTCATGACTGAATAGACTATCTTTTCTTTTCTTGTTCTTCTTGATGGTAAACTGAATGACAAGTCAACAACGTATGAAGTATTGTCTAGAGGGTCTTTTACAGTTAGGCTACTTGACATCATAATGATACTGGTATTAACTTGTACTACATTAGTCTAGATCTAGGGTCTAGAATCTATACTATTTTAAAAGGTAGTTTGATTGATTAGTTATTAAATAATACTTTTACTTTTTGCATGAGAAATATTATGTTTATTTGCCTACTTGAGAAAGAATGCCATTTTGTCACTTGTGTCATAGCTAATCTAGGGCTATGCTATTGACATTGGATTGTCATCCAAGTTAGAAATCACTAGGGCTGGGCCTGTGGCTGATACTGACAGTGACTGATATAGATGCATTTATGCCAAATGACTCTCAACAGACTCGGTCAAGTCAGGTAGTATTGATGATCACGAGTATCCTAGCCGAGTAGCCTAGGTAGTCAGTTGCCTCTGCTGGTCCATTCTTATTACTCGGTAGTAGTAATATTGTATGTGAAGCGTTACATTACTAACGGGAAGCGATTAACATCAACCAGGCTAGGTAGTCACTGCTGAGTTGTCACCTAATTTCCTTATTTGATATAGTCTACATGTTCTTCTTCAATTGATTGTGTAATGATATATAAAATATAATATGGTGACGAGTGGTGTGGGAGGAAGCTCAGCTTTGAGGCTTTCACTTTTTTCCTACAAACCCAGATGCTGTGTAAACAAAAGTGGACAGTTGTATACATCACCCTTGCTGCAACACAGAATTTTATAGCAACCTTTACCTTTCATCACTTTGCAGCTGTTAGTAATAAACTGCATTTATTTACTGCCCACGCCTCTTGTCTGTAGTAGGGACAAGAGGAAGAAATTGCATTCACTTTACTTTAATGAACAAAAATCTTAATTCATTTGTGAGCCAGGTACTCGGGGCCACTGCTGGATGGGAGTGCACTCAATGAGGCTGCTGAGGCAGGAGCTAAGTCTGTGGCTTACACAGAGCTGGTAGAATGGATCGTCTCTCAGCTCGCTGCCTTCTGTGGCATCGATGAGAAGGTCTCAGCTATCCAAGGTATACATGTTTCCTATCCTTCTTGTCAAATTTTTGTACAAATACAGTTTAAATTTTTCCAAGCTGTCCACACATTGGCAAAGAGAAAAGTGGTTGTCTTAGAAAGGTAGACATCTTGCACAGTGTCATTGTAATGCTGGGAAGCGGGATGTAGTCATTTGTACGGGTGATTGTCCTGGACAAGTAATGGTTGGTTGGGACAGGTTCGACAGTATTGATGTTTGGGGCTTTCTTTTCACTGTTACTGAAAATGTACCTTTTAAAAAGTCAGTTTGATTTGTTTTTAAAGTCTCCTATATCGGCCAGTTTCATCAACGGACAAGTCTTTTTTTAAAATTGCATTTATATACGTGGATAATTTAAAAAGTCGCTGTTGTTGGGTGGTTTTAATCAAAGGTCTGTCACATTTCTACAGTGATCAAGGCAGATAAAGGCATCAACGGGGCACGCCGAAAGGGTTTTGTTTCTGAAATGAGACTTGACTTTAGTCTCTTATTAATTATAGAAGCAAAAATATGAAACTTCTACGAAGTTTTGTAAGGTTGTGTTGGAGATCTCAATTGCATAATTTTGTGTCTATTTTTGTAAAAATGCTGAAAGAAAATTTGAGAAACTAATAAACTTCTATTACACTACATTTTGTAGCATTTATTTTTAAAATGTGGTCTTCCATTCTTTAATTTAAACGGCCATTGCTCTTACCAACAAAATGGGACAATTCTTTATTTTTCCTTAGGACCTGGAGATGGAGACAACTTTCTTATGGAGCTCAGTGGATTCTTGCGAGAATTTTGTAAGTGTATTTGATGCTTTTATGCAGTCATTACTTTTCTGGCTACTTCTCTGGTAGTGAAAAAATTGACTTCAGTCTGTCATTAAATTTCATCCAATTAATGTACTTCTCATCTAATACTCTTTTTTTTTGGTTTAAAAGTACCTTGTAGGAGAAGATGGAAAAAAGTTATTTTTTTTACTGGAGATGTGTCTATTGTTTCATTTCTGTACAATTTTTTTTATTTTTGTTACGTTTGCCCGAGTTATTTATTTGTCCAGGCTGGTTTTATCATCTTTTGTAATAAGAAAATTTCTTTCTTTTATCAGCCTGCCCATATTCCACTTTGACGCAAGGTCCGATTGAAGGTCGATTGGCAACCAAAGAGTCTTGCTTACAGCTCCTTGGTAAGTGTGAGGTAGTAGCTCCCACAGGTAATGATAGGAGGTGTTAAATGAGATAAATGTTGTAGGTCAGGTTGTGTGCCAAGGTACTGCTTTAGAGAAACAGACCTGCCAAGCATTCTGAGAAAGACAGTTCTCCAATTTAAAAAAAATATAATTAGAAAATTTTTTTGGGATTGTTGAAGAATTCTAATCTGATTTCCATAAAATCTTGATCTTTTTTTTCTTGAATTGCACTTCTGTCAGATCGAATATAACGTAACAGAAAGAATGTGAAAATACATAACTTTATTTGCTTTCTGAGGGAAACTCATAATTTTGATCATGGAGTGGTCGGCAGGCCTGGTGAAGTTTTTCCATCCCCTGTCCTTGTAAGGAGAGGAACAGAGTTCAGGACTGACAGGATCTAAGGAGTACTTTTCTGTAAGACAAGTAATCTCTCTAAACCTAAGAGTCCGGCGGTCCTGATGATTTTGGTTTAAGCAGACTCCACTGTATATATTTACTTGTACTTCTATGATTGAAACAACAGTCACTGGGTGTCCTGGTTAGCGTGGGAAGATGTGACAAGTTTTTTCACTATTGAAGACATTGGTCGGATGATTAGATTAATTAATTTCTTTAAAGTTCTGTAATACTCAACTTGGATTTTTATTATATGTCCTGAGTGTGTTGAATTTTCAAGTAATGTAGTAACCATGTTTTTGTTATTTCTGATTTGAGATTACAAAATGCTACAACATGTTGGTTATTTTTTATTCTTTAACAGACTACTTGCTTACGGAGCTGGCTAGTGTGAAGATGATAGCATCGAAAAAGCCCGCAGTCCTAGCATCATTGTCGAAGACACCAACGGAGGTCGCAGAGCCGGTGAGAATTGATGTGTTCATGTATCAATAAATTAATGGATTTTTACAGTATTTCAAGAGTTTGAATTTATGGAAAGGTGTTAGATTACAAAAACAAATTCTTAAAGCAAGAAAAGTATAATCGCACTTTGCTGTGGTATGTTTCTGTACAGTGCTGACATTCTTCTTCTAGTTCAGGGGTAGTTTCAGAAACCAGTGCTAACTTGCTCTGTTGTATTGTGAACTAGTCGACGGTTCAGTGTTCTAGTAGGGCCTGATAAGCTCTCTTCTAGTTTGTTAAGGAAACAGTGATAAACTCAAAGCATACCCCACCCGTCTGGGGTGTTTTTTTGCACCTCATGACGATCACAGCCATCTGTTTTCTGTATCGTGTAAAACCTAACTGCAACTTCACAATAACTCCGTGGTGAACCCAGATAATGTGTACAACAAGGTCAAGTAGTTATAAATTAAGGGGGTGGGGGGGAGTTATTATTCTTTTGACTTAAACTGCCATGCTTTGATGTTAGTTTATCTTATCTTGTATTCCCAATTTCTAATCAGTTGTACTTTAGTATGGAAATGTTGGGGCCTTACCAGTAAATATGTTGGTGCTACTCAAGGCATTCGGTGATGAAAAGAAAGAAACCAAAATAAAAGAAACACTCTGTCATGTAAAATTCAGCTCCAGCAGAACATATTCAGTCGTTCTTATTTATATTCTTTTATTGTTTCATCTTAATATTGAAATATCATTGTACTTACTCACATTCCCATAATCAATGATTGTCTCATACAAATAAAATCATTAACATAGCACCCCCCAAAAAAAGGAACATTAGACAAAACAAGAGGCACCAGCAGAGTAAGAATGGATAAAGGTTGGAACTTCCGACAAAGTTTATTTCATCTACAGGTTTAACTGAGGCTCATGAGAGAAATCAACTCTTTCAGCACGCAATGACATTTTTCTTTCTTCTTCCCTTTGTCGTTCAGAGTGGGAGCGAAGAATAAGTATGGATAAAGGTTAGAACTTCCGACAAAGTTTATTTCATCTACAGGTTTTATGTGAGGCTCATGTGAGAAACCGACTCTTTCAGCACGCAATGACATTTTTCTTTCTTCTTCCCTTTGTCTTTCAGAGTGAGAGCGAAGTGGCCAAGTCTCTGAGAGAAATGTTGATGGCTCTGAAGTTTTCCAAGCCTCCTCCCAATATTACAGGTTTTCAGCTGTTCAGCAAGATAGAGAGCAAGGTTTGGCCTCGTCTGTTTTTGTCTCACCTTCTGTCCAGTTTAAATCTGTCCCCGTTGTTTTATGCAAGAAAAATTCTGAAATTCTGCAAACTTAGCCCAAAAATGTGAAATTATGCAGTTCTGTTAATTTTAACAAAGAATGATAAAGGAAAATAATCAGAAATTATGCAAAAAATGATACAATTTTGCTAAATTATGCGGGGTGCATAAAACCACGGGGACAGTAAAATGTACTCCCCCTCCCCCCCCTACCCCATTGCTCTTATTGGGCAGTCAACCCAATCTGTACGTTGTGTTTTACTATCGTATCCAGACGACGTGGGGAACTCTGTGCCACCACTTTCAAAGAGGAAGTTTACTCGTTAATCCGATCCGTACGCTTTGCATAGCAGTGTGTCAAAATGTTTTTTTGAGAAATACTGAAAGTTTCAGTGTAAGAGATCTTCGTACTAGAGGTATTCTAAAATGTGAAGAATACAACCGCGGGGGGTACAAAATGACCTAAGGTCATATGGATAGGGTTGAACAAGTCTTTTGAGAGAGAGGGAGAACTGTAGGGGAGCAGGAAAATTCAACAACTGGTGTGGTACTGCCTGATGGATCTCCAACCAGATTCTAATTGGAATTACAAGCAGATGGACTTTGAGATGGATCCATAGGAGAAAGGGGGGCAGTTATGGATGTGTGCCATCTGCGATGATCCCAACTTTGGAAGACAGATTTGAACAGACAAATAGTTAACCAAATCTCTAAACTTACTCTTTCCCAGGGGGAAAGCAGTACCCTAATGTTTTCTTATTTTACCCTCTTTCTGCGATTCAGAATGATTTTTTGTTGGTTAATGGGCACCCCGATGAGCTCTATTCCTTTTAGTTGGATCTGTATTTTGTCTTATCTGGATGTTGTTTCATGAAATAATAGAGCCAGTACCATTGCAACTCACTTTATCTGTCCCCGTGGTTTTATGCACCCCACATAATTTAGTAAAATTTGATCATTTTTGGCATAATTTCTGAATATTTTCCTTTATCCTTCTTTGTTAAAATTAACAGAATCGTATAATTTCACATTTTTGTTCTCAGTTTACATAATTTCAGAATTTTTCTTGCATAAAACGACGGGGACAGCTTTATAGATCCATCCCTTTTTTTGTTGTTAAGATTTCCATTTCAGTCCCCCCTATTGACAATGAAGTGTTCCTTTCTCATCACCAGGTGAAGGAATTCATGTCCAAGTATCCCAACCAGATCGGCAAACCCTTACTTAAGACTCGGCTATCGGACAAACAGTGGACTCACATCTTGGCCATCAACGACATCTTGTCGGACGAATACCGCGTGAGACGGGAGATGTTGCTCAAACGTCTAGACGTGACCATTCAGTCGTTCAAGTGGTCAGACAAGGCTAAGGTACAGCTAGACCCTTCTTCCTGTAATCCTGCCCTATTGGTGTTTGTTGCTGTGGTCTGTGCTTGATGCTGTGCTTTCTGTTGATAGTTATCTCAACTCTCAATAGTATTTTTAATTAATTTTTATCTTTGTGGCTGTGAGCCGTTGGTTCATTGGCTCTATGGTGATGTGAATTTCCGCTTTTTGAATGTTATAAACTTATTACAGTCGAACCTGCTCAAGTGGTCACCTGCCCAAGACAATCACCGGTTCAAAAACCACTTCTTACCTGCCCCCCCCCCTGCATTTATTCTCTTTTGTAAGGATATAATGATGCTGTCCAAGATGTCTACCTGTCTAACACAGCCACTTTTCTCCTCGACAATGCGCGGCCTTCAAAGCTTCTTAGACAATTTCAATTGTATCATGTCCTGATCTGTTCCAATTAAAAAGTGAGCATTTTTGGCTGTGACATTCTTTTAGTTTCTTGTAAATACATAACGACATAGCTACTCAAAATTTATAATAGTGTTTATCTGAAGCTGAAGAACATTTTGTGACTGGGGGTCTTGCAGATTGGGAGTGTAGTAGCGCAAAAGTTTGACATTTGCGGGATGGTCACTGAGTGAGTGAGATGTTTCTATGAGTTGGTCTTGTTCAATACAGTTTTTGAGTGTTTGCTATGGCAGCATAATGGAACATGGTCTTTTTTTTCTAGGGCTTTTATGGTATTGATAGTTTTATCATGTTCATATAATTATCTATCCTTGTGTACTGTACATTTTTCTTTCTTTCATTTGTGCTATGCAATTATTTTGATTTTTTTTTTTTCAGAGTAAAAAATGTCATCTTCATTTTTCCTTTTTTTTGCTTTGACAGAGTAATGACAACAAGATAGCAGGAGTCTATCAGCCGATCCGACGTCTGCTTGTGTCCAAGACAAATGTTGGAGTTCCGCAAATTCTTGCCGCGAGGGATGGTATGTGAATTATAGGTTATGGAACGTTATGTATGTGGGTAAAGAAACGTTAACTTGACTTTATGGAATGTTTATGAGGGATCACAAGCATTAACTACTTTTTGTGGGGTGTTACATGTTAACCACACCATCTTGAATGTTACATGAATTTTGTGAAATATTTACATGAACACAAGTCTTATTTTCTAGTGCTGTCTATGTGAGCCCTTTTCCATCTCATAAAATTGTTTGTACTATGGAGTCCACTTAAACTAAACTTGGTTAATCCGAAAATAGCGGTAAGTTGAAAGAAAATAGAATCCCCAATTTTTTTTTCTTTGTTTTCGGAGCTACTTCTCCATACTGAAAACCTGGATAAACCGAAGATAAAACAGCGGGTGATCCAGCATATTTAGGTTCAAGTGGACTCTACTGTATGTACGCGTTGCTTCTTCCTGTTTGTGCTTCCCAACTTCGTAATACTTGCTGTGACTGGCTTTTTTCCCCCCCTCCTACTCCTAGACTACATTGCAGTTTCATCATCTATTTTATTTTTTTCAGATTTAACAAGACTGCAGAAAACGAGCAGTGGAGAGGCGAGAGAGAGGAGTAAATGTGCAATAAACAAAGTTCTCATTGGCCGGGTAAGTTTGTCAAAAGGTCCACTTTTAGTGTGCCCAAATGTTGGATTATGATATGAAAGTGCTTTGTCTACTGCCTAGCATACTGACCTGGGCAATATTGTCCACTAGTGAGCAATTCGATAATTTTGTAATAACAAGTGTTATCTTATGCCCCACTTGGAAATACAAGTTGTTGGACGTTACGAAAATGTGGGTGGTTGGCGGGTACTCTGGTGTGGTTTGCTCCTTCATTCCTATGAAACATCTATCATCCTGATCTCTCCCTTCTTTTTTGTCTTTGTTACTCTCTTGTAACACCTCTAATCTTCAGCAAGTGCTGTAAAACTCTTACTAAAATTTGAACTAAATCAACTCGCTAACTGGGTGGTTGGCGGGTGCTCTGGTTTGGTCTGCTTCTTCTTTCCTATCAAACATCTATCGTCCTTATCTCCCCTTCTTCTTTTTTATGTTTGTTACTCTCTTGTAACACCTCTAATCTTCTGGCGCTCATATGACCTTATGCAGTTGCGAGCGCCGTAAAACCTCTACTAAAACAAACAAGTCACTAACTGTCCATTGTGTTTTGTGACGCCAGGTGCCAGACAGAGGCGGGCGTGCCTGGGAGCTGGAACCTCCCCCACCCGAGATGCCGGCCTTCATGAAGAGAGACGCCAGCTCAGGGGGTGAGTTATATGTCTTGTCTTTCTTTTGTACTCTAAGCCTTCATGAAGAGAGACGCCAGCTCGGGGGGTGAGTTGTATTACATCTGTCTTTTTCTTGCACTCTAAGCCTTCTCTTCTTAGAGAGATGCCAGCTCAGGGAGTGAGATATATGTCTTCTCTAGTTTTGTACTTAACACTTTCTCTTCTTAGAGAGATGCCAGGTGAGGGAGTGAGTTATATGTCTTCTCTAGTTTTGTACTTAACACTTTCTCTTCTTAGAGAGATGCCAGATGAGGGAGTGAGTTATATGTCTTCTCTAGTTTTGTACTTTAAGCCTACTCTTCATAGAGAGATGCCAACTCAGGGGGTGAGTTATATATCTGATCTATTTCTTGTACTTTAAGCCTTCATGAAGAGAGATGCCAGCTCTGGGGGTGAGTTATACATCTGTCTTTTGTACTTTAAGCCTTCTCTTCATAGAGAGATGCCAGCTCAGGGAGTGAGTTATTTTCTGTCTTTTTCTTGCACTTTAAGGCTTCATGAAGAGAGATGCCAGCTCAGGGGGTGAGTTATTTTCTGTCTTTTTCTTGCACTTTAAGGCTTCATGAAGAGATGCTGGCTTGGGGGTGAGTTATATCTGCCTTTATGTTGTGCTTTAACTCTTCGTATACGATAGGCTATCTCTCCTTTGTACACAGCCAGTTTTGTCGTCCCAAGTTTGCAGCATCACAAACTTCTCTATAACTCCACTCCTGTTTAATCTCTTTGCATAAATTAAACACCAAACTGAGTGGAAATGAATGACCTGAGTAATAAACATACAGTTTGATATTAGATAGCAAGAAATTGCTGGGGTTTGGTAAATGTTTGTTTCCCCAGTAAACAATGGAACATTGTCGTGAACTGGCTGAACTGGCAGGTTTGCTGTATATTTAAGAGTTAAACCTTCTTAAACAGAAATGCTGATCCAGATAAGATAACCATCTTTGAAATTTATGCTGTACTTAAACATTCACAATTTGTGACTGTGGAAGTTTACCATTCAAATGTTTTTAGCAGGCTATACATAATATGTATGCATTGCTGAAATGTTGAAGACCCTGATGTCTCTACTAGTTTGTACCTTATTGAGGGTCTGTTAAGTCCCCCCCCCCCCACACACACACAAACACACACACACCATTTCGGTGATTTGGACATACACTCTTATTTGTGTTGCAAGTGCCGTTAAACTGTTACTACAAATATTTGATGTGTCCCATGTGCTCATATGACCTTATGCAGTTGCGAGCGCTGTAATACCCTTACCCCCCCCCGAAAAAAACCCAACCAAAAACCTGCGCGCTCATATGACCTTGTGCAGTTGCGAGGGCCATAAAACACTTGCCACCCCCCCCCCCCAAAAAAAAACTTTAAAAAAAACTGTTACTACCCGCTACATGTAAAACTTAAAAAATGTTGTGTATTCTGTTAGTGACATGAGTTCTAATTTTTTTTTACTTGTCTTGTGTTGCAGGTCGGGGTGGTGGAGGATTCCGTGGTGGTGGCCGCGGGGGCTACCAGGGAGGTGGAGGAGGAGGGGGTTATCAGGGAGGGGG